TTTTCAACCTGTCGACGACTAATGTTTTCCACAACGCATTGTTCGGCAAACTGACCTACAGGTCAGTCGTAATCTATCCGTCATATACGAACGTGCTCTGTAACACGCGTCCTATCGTGGAAATGTCCGACGACTTATTAATACTACACTTCAATCCGATAATTTGCGAAATCCACATGTAAGTTACTATATAATAAGTTTAAGCAGCACTAAGTAAGGCATGTAACAGTGAAACTAAAACATTCACCGTTTTATCTCTCAAGGTTCAAATTCATGTAAGCACAAATCACTTGAGAAGGACCACAATCCGGATGGTCGAAACGTAGTGATATAATTCAATAAAGTTTATGCCAGTTGGGTCGACTAAATCACTCATTACTGTTAATTATTTACTGACGACAACAATATCTACCTCCGTGAATATGTATAGTTTTACAAGAGAGAGAGAGAGAGAGAGAGAGAGAGAGAGAAAGAGAGATTTTATGATCTAGATTTATTTCTAATATTACGTACATTACGTATAGATATTTATAGGAAAATTAATACGTGCGCGTACATCTGTAATATTTATTTGCACGTGTTATAAAAATGCAGAGATTTAAAGCTGATATTAAAAATTAGAAAAAGTCAAAAAGAGATTTTTATGACGAAATGTAAGGATAAGAAAATTTTACTTACATTATGCGCTTTGATATTTTCTCGGTACAATCTACCGGTTGTTTCGACACAAGTATCATTGCATCATATGAGTGTACCGCATTTCTGGTGGTAATCGAGTTCGATAGTAATAATTAGTGAGACTATCCGTTTGCTGTTTTATTAGTTTATGCAATCGTGTTAATTATTTGATTACATATTATTTTTGTTATAAGTAATTAATTGCTTTTCGCATTATTAGTCTATTCTCAACTGTCATAAAAAATAACTATAAAAATTTTTGCGCTTCGTTAAAAAATCTAATATATTTTTATTACAAAATTAAAATATAGTAAATTTTATGACGACACGACCGGCTTATTGAGAACAGAAAAATAAAATACAAGGATTGTATATTTGGTATTATCGCCCACCACGGACATTTAAATAAAAATTTGAAAAAAGGGAAGGGTTAAAGAATTTTGTACATTTATTATCATAATACGTGGGTTTAGAATAAATTTCGTAAATTCTTAGAAAGCAGGTTGCTTGAAAACATTTGAAAAACTCTTATGTCACGTTGTATTTTATTAAGGGACACGCTCTCACTCTTCTGGCACGTTAATTTTTAATGACAATTTTTTATCAATTAGAAATTAACTCTTCAGTAAAATTATTTAAAAGTGTAAGCATTCAATAAGACCTTATTTTAATAATTTCCCATGGTGAATGTTGATGACAGACAAGGTCCTTTTTTATTGTTAAAAATTGCTCGGGCAGTTTTTTATTTAAATTCCTAAAAAATCACGGTTCGACAATCTTAAAAGAACACTGCAATGTAATGTATGCATCTTAGTAACGCGAGAACTGCTTTCCAGCTGATCCAAAAAAAGAAGAAAATCCAATTTTATAATCTAGTTTCTCTAAATTTTGCATAGCTCAATTTATGTTGTCCGTTGACGACAATTAGTTATTATTGTAAGTAAACATTGAGATATAGGTAATTACTGTAATAAGAGGCTGTGCTGGACTGAAGAGGAGGGCCGTTCGGGTTACTCCCAAGAGAACGACGATATAAAGGGGACTGCATGTAAGTCTCGCACGCACTAAACATACGATTGAGGAAGAGGGAGACTGTGAGTTGCTGAGGGAGCATACAATCGGCGAGTTTTCCCGTTCTCCGAAATCGCCAAGTTTCGCTCGAGTTTCGCTCGAGTTTCGCTCGAGTTTCGCTCGAGTTTCAAAGTGACTGGTTTCTATCTCGACGAGTGCGACTTCTCGTTTGATTCTCGTCGCATTTGTTCCACAAGTTTTCTTTCATAGACACACTGGAATAATCTGTGAAAAGTGATTACACCGATTTCGACGCTACGCCTCGGAACGCAGACGTCTGCTGGAGTTTTGCTCGGCTTGGTGCATCCCCTGCAGCGGACAGTAGGTGCATCACATTGTTATTGTGTATAAATGCTCCATAACATATAATAATTACAATATAAATTTAAATATAATAATTAACATAAATTAAAATAAAATAGCATCGTATTAAACAGAAATTGATAATTTTAGATTTTTATAATACATATGCTCTCTTTCTTTATTCGTAACTAAATTTTTATTTATGATAAAATAATTAAAATAAAAAAGTTATATTTATGTAGATTGATTTATGAGGGCAAAGATCTCAATATTTCAAGTCGACGTAATATAAGAGACGTGCATTTTGCTTGTGAAATAAATCGCCCACACATTCGTTTCTTCCTGTGACCACGAACGGACGATCAATGTTAGAGAACGTTGACTATTTTGTATTTGTGGAAACGTTTTTAGTTGTTTATTATGAGATTATTGGATGTACGTTAATCTCGTGTTAAAGCAGTTTTCTTATCTATTCCACAAAATAATATTTAGTATGTGGCAACATCCGGCTATATCGCTAAAATATTTTGCAACGCGTTCAAATTAATTTTATAACAAGCTTAGAATCTCTACACGTGCTATATTAATTATTTAGAGCGATCACTATTATCATATTAAAAAAGATTATTACGCGCGTGTAGTTTGTCCGATTCAGTACTTTCATATTAGCAGGGGAGAACATGGAATTATATAATTAGTAATGAATCTCGCCAACAGACATTACCGCACTTGATGTGGTACGTATCTTTTTATCTTTTATACTTTTTGTATGAACAGGTGTGAAACCAATTTACTTTTATTGCGGTGGAAGCGAAACGAATGGAGATATTATATTATTCATTCAGTGTAATCACATTATTTATGCAATTACATAATCTCGCTCTTTAAAAGTCAATCAGTGCATTATAACTGTGAATCAGGGAATATTCATTATTTTCAGTGATAATCCACTGACTTTTTAGAGAGCGTATCACCTTCATCTATGATTTACACGTGTATCGGGCATTCTTCTAATTAGTATATAGTGTTCTCTCTCGTCGCAGAGTTGTCTTCAGATCTATTTTGTGTGCGGAATGTAGTCATTGGTCTTCTCACATGACTACTGAATAATTTAACGTGAAAATTTGATGAAGTTAAGTAACGGCACTTAAGTAATGGAAAGTGCACGTATATATTCTCAATGTTATATGAGACTCGCATCGTTAATATAAGTGATAAAATCGATAAAAATTTGATACCTTTCTAGTAGTAAAATGTAGCCAGCGTAGAAAATATCGGACTCGTAGTGACTTTATGTAAAACAAACGGAGCGGCTGTACGTGAGATAATCGTGCACTCATGAATGCACAATACATTGTTTCCGCGATAAAAGATACTTTATAAAAGATATTTATCAAGCGTTAATCATGCATTAAAATATTATAGAGCTATTTGTGATTTATTAGTTCAATCAGATTTCTTCCAAAGTAAATGGCAAACAATTAGTTATTATTAAATATTTCATTACTATGACACTCAATAGTTTAATATTATAACATATGGTTCTAATGAAATTCTTTCAATTATCGACTTTAGGTCATTTCTGGTATAGTGTTTATAGATTTACTGGAATGACTGATTATTTCACTACGTTTTCCTTATCGTGTCGATCAAACTTGATTTTCTATGTCGCGTCCTTCGTGATTCATGTTACCAGGTTTGTTAATATTTATAGAAACGTGTATAAAACTCTCCTTTTCTTCTGTTTTATTAGAAGAAACGAGAAATGATATTCCGTTGAAAATTAGTGCAGTAGAATTAGTAAATTGATGTATGATAAAAATACAGAAAGTGCAGTAAAATTTAATAAAAAACCACATCCGGTTATGAAATATATGTGTAGAATAACAGTGTAATAGATATCACTGCTTTTTACTTATGTCTTATCTTATCGGGAAGTAGAATATATCACATTTTTGCATAAAGTAAAAATGACGTAAACGAAAAACTATGGGTCATCGCTAAATTATGCTGCGTAGAATGTACGAAAACATTTTATTATCATAATTTGCCATTATATCTCATATGTTTTTCTATTTAAATGTTAAGTAACCGTCACAGTTAATAAGATTTTAAAATCTAATTTACATATATTGTACTAATTAATTACGACGTCGATCTTTATGAATACATTACGATTTCTTTCGATGAAAAAGTTGATATTGAATTTGCTATTAAAAATAATAAAACTACTCAAGTTGCCATTAACTTTTACCGTTAGAATCAAAATGTTCTATTTTTCCGATTATCTGCTTACGATACAAAATAAACAGAGCGAAAAATTTAATTAATGTAAAACCACAATACGATGCGATTTAAGCTTGGTCTTTTTGAATATAAAAGTGAAAAGAGGTATACTTTAATATGTTTGATCGTCGAGTTAAAAAGGCGATATAAAGTGAAAAGCAATATGTTCATAATTCAATTTACAATAATAAAGTGCAGAGAATATTGCCTCGACAAGATGTTATTTGTTACATTTAATAACTTTTGAACAATTTTATTTAATTAAAATAAAGCATTCAATTAAGAGATTATTTTTGTATGTACTTAACTAATTAAAAGCTGTTATACCCCTGATTTCATGAGTAACAAAATTACAAGAAACGTGTGGTGACGTTTCATTAGCACAATATCAACAATTGCGCGATCATTGATACAAGAAAAATCAATTATCTCGCAACGGTCTTACCGTTTCATTAACAAAATATCAACAATTGCGAATTGCGAATCAAGTACCTCGCAATTGTTAATATTCTGCTAATAAAACGGTGTTACCACACGTTTCTTGCAATTCAGTTGCTTATGAAATCGGGAACATAACGAAGCGGTGATATTGTTAATAAATTTTTATATAAATTTACTTTATAATACTATTCAGGTATGTTAATTTCAGACATGATTAATTGATCAATATAAAATAACTATTGTATATCAGCGAGAAATAATTATTAAAAGTCGCGTGAAAGCAAACTGTTAGCTCGAAATTAATGCGATCCAGATAGTACAGATGGATACAGATCGTTTCTACACACGCGCAATGAAGTCTATCATTTATTCGCCCGCTGAAAAATTGGATCAGCGCCGTTCGATCCGTGCTTCTGCTCTTGACAATTAGTAATGTATAATTAATATAGTATAAATAATAATTTTGTATTGTTAATCAATTGTCTAAGAAAAATTAAGAAAAGTTACTAAAGTAACTGATGAAAATTATATTTAAGCTACAAAAAATTGATTTTCATCAGAAATTGAAGAGAAGATACGGAAAATTCCATTCTGTTACTCAATATCTAATGCGAGGAAGGAACTTGTCAGCAAGATTAAATTGATATTTAATAACGTCTTGAGTAGGCGAAACGCATGGGGATATAAGACTTAATTGTTGATCGCGAACGTGTTACGTGTGAACCAGATAACAACATAAATTAATGATCCTGTTCTTTGTTGCCGAGCTACTGTGAGATGTATACGTATGCATTATGAATGACGTTTGTTAATGTCCTTGTTTTATAGATAATAATTCTTAAAACATATAACGAATGACTGTCCGATACTACGAAGTAAGCAAATAACACATACTTCGCGATAGCAATACTACAAAGTAAATTGCCCCGTATACATTAACATATAATATTTTTTTTATCGAAAGTTTATTGTAAAGGCAAATAATCTGCTTTGTTTGAACTGATTATCGTGAACCCTTGTTGTTTTGGGATATCGTTTTAAGTCAGCGTATTTTAAGGTAAAGAATAAACTGCACGGTGATATATTTCCTATTCTTAGGAGCACGTATTTCTAAAATTATTTCTTTTTAAAATATATACACAACGGATGAATAATACTGTTAAATTAAATAATCGTTACGGTAAATCAGACGGCATTAAATTAGACAACTCGAATATATTTTATGCAATAATAAAAAGCCGAAAAGTGCGAGCGTGAATTGAAATAATCGAGATGATATTAACATCGTTATTTTCATATCTTCGTGGTTCGTTCTGTGATACACGATAATCTAATATCTTTGTCTCAATACGCCAGACAAAGAAAATATCAGAGCAAAAGTGCCCATGGACTTTTACTGAGAAGGAAATAACTGGGACCGTCATGTAAATACGAGTAAGGTGCTAATAGCATCGGCAAACTTACGGTGAACGGTGTTAATTTACTTATGCCAACAAACGATACCGCGCAGTCATACTCGTACGTTTCCCGCACGCGATCGTGATACGTCAAAGTGGGTCACCCAAACTTAAGGTAGTTCTTTCG